GGTACATTCTGCGTGATGCAAGGGGATGCATCTGACTTCTGAAGTCACTTAGATAGCTGCACAACTATTCTCCATTTCAAGTCTAGATAATTACTATGTTGCATAAAATAACTCATGAAGCAGCAGATGGTGCAACATGGGAACACCTGTTCCTTTAAACACCAATACAAAACAAGAGAGCAATAGCCGTTTTCCTTTGAAAGGAAAAAATCCAGCTTTGGAGGACAAGATACATAAATACCACCAGACTGTGGGCAGAAGCCAAAATAATCCATTCAGCATTCTGTGCTAAACACGGAATGCAATTGCCCTTGACCCAGCCCTGTTCACGTGTTGATAAACTGTCAGAAGCAACACACGCATTTGCAGGACTGAAGCGCCCAAAAGATACTCCAGAGAAAGCTTCTTTTTTCAAGGACAGCTCCATGACAATGACTTAGATTTTTACAAACACATGCAACTAACAGATATCTTGGAATGGTTAACTAGGTTTGTTTTTGTTTCCCCCTGGTTTTGTTTTTTTTTTTTCATTAGGCAATTATGCCGTGTAATCACAATTTCTAATTCACTGGTCAGGTTAAATGGCAGTTCACATGCAACTGCGGCCGCCCTTCAGGGCTTGTGTGTCCTCCTTTACCAACTAGCAAACCAAAAGTGTTTTAAATCTGACAGTATAGAAGCTCATTCACATCTACGCTAGTGAGCACTTACTACTGTAGCTCTTACCTTGAAAATGTACACAAATATAAATTGTTACTGTAAGACAGGAGTTACAGGCACTATTTGCGTTCGCCAGACACTTTTATTCATGCGCAGCAACTTAGCACTTTGTGTATTCTACAGCATAATTCACATGGGAAGAACACCACTTTTTCGCCTCCCTGCACAGATCCCAAAGCTATTCCACCTTCCGATGGAAAGGTCCGCGTCTCAGTACAAAAGCGCCGAGCGAAGCATCCCGCGGGGTCCTGCAGCCCCCGGCACACTGCTGCTGCAGTCTCGCCCCGCCATGCCGGGCAGGGGTCTTCCCCCGCTCGCCCGGTGGGTTTTCTCGCCCGGGCCGAGCCCCGAGTCCGCCTCCTGCCCCAGCGCCCAGATGATAATTCCGAATTCCCGGTCTTTCCCACGCCGGGACTCGCGGCCCGGCCGACCCGCTCCCTTCCCCCCTCCCGGCCGCCTCACCGATAAGGACGCGGAGGTGCTTGAGTCGGGTGAGTGGGTCCTTGCGGGTGTCCAGCACCTTCTGCGTGGATTTCCGCACGTCCCCGTGCGGCTTCTTGGAAAACATCCCGCCGGGCCCGGCCTCGGGCCCGGCCCCGGCGCCGAGCTCCAGAGGCGGACAGCGGCCTCCGGATCTGCCCGCTCTGGGGCCCCTACATAGCCAGGGGCGGCAGCGCCGCCTCCGCCTCCTCCTCCCGACTCGGACTGCGATGCGGCGAGGGCGGCGGGGCGCGGCGCGGAGCCAACTCCCCGCGGGCCGGGGGCCGGGCCGGGCCGGGCCTGGACTCCCCCTCCTTCCTCCCTCGCTTTCCTCCCGCTGCTTCACGACAGCCGTCAGGTACGACCCCAGGCGTCCCCATGGCAACCGCGTCGCGACGTCACGGCGGCGCTGCCCCGCGCACCTCCGGGGCGCGCCGGGCGCGGCCGCGCCGCCCGCGCTCCCCCGCAGCCCCGGCCGGGCGCGGAGAGCCGGCCGCGGAGCAGGGCATCTGGGGACCCGCTGCAGGATCCTCTCCGCAGCTCGGCAACAGTAACTGGGGTAGGGAACTGTGCTTCTGCTGTTTGTAAGCGAAGTGTTAAGTTATCCCATTACACAGCTACTCTGGCTGTACAGAGACACTGCAGTGTAAGGTGGCAGTAAGGAATTAAAATCCAGGTGAGGACCGTATTCACCACGGCAGCGACTCCAAACCTTCTACTCAAGCCTCAGTTGTGCAACCAGCAATGATGTGTCTCATAGTTCCTCTTTCCACACCGATCCTCAAAGTGCTGCAACTCCTCATGCCGAGCTCCTGCCCAAAATTGCTTCTCCCCGATTGCACTGCCTGCGCCTTCAGCTGCACTGCTGGCATCGAGACCGAACCATCAGGCACATCTGGGTCCTGCACGAAGGGTTGAGGCATCCTCATTTCTTCTGTGCTCTCTAAGGATGGTCATGCCCCTTCTGCTCCTACATCAAAGCCAAATGAGCTCAAGAGAACACGTTTGGCTCGGTCCCACCATGCACAACCTCACAGCAAGGCCAGCAATAGCCAGGAAAATGGATGAGGTGCCATATCAACTCTTGCTGAGGATTGAGTTACTAGCATTAAAAAAGTCCCAAGTTTCTCCTAAGAGTTTGTTTGCATTCATGAGATAGAGAATTCATGGACTTTCCAAAAGACATCTGCTGTAGTATCATTTAGGATTCTTTCCACTATCTCTTTGCTTGGACATTTTTAAGCAGTCACTGGTTCTCTGTTTTGGATTGAGGATCACTTCTGTGAGCTAAGAGTCTGATTGGAACAGCTGGAGTTTTTAATATTGGATATATTTCATTATTTGAGGCTTGTTTTAAAATTCAAAGAATTCTCAACATTTACAGACCTGTCACATAAATAACATAACCCAAGTGTTTAAAATAATGATGAACAGTAAATGTTAGAAGCACAAGGGCAGTGGGAACGTCAGCAGGGCATCAGTGAGGGACTCAGTGTTACTCAGTGTTGTCTGCCTGCTTATGTGGTCTGCCTCAGAGCATTTCAAATATTCTACCATCTCTGTAAATGAGATCTGAAGATTAGCAATGTTAGGTAACAGTTAGTATTACAATTATTTAGTTTACTATAACACAATAAGTACATATTAGCTCTCTAAGATCTGACAATGATACATTGATTTATGTGCTTTGTTTTCTAAATTTCATTAATTCTAAACACAATTCTGCACATTGAAAATCTTTGAGATATCTTTTTGTTGGATAATTTGCTTGTTTTTCCATTAATTTTTAGATCTTTAACTCAAGAGAAGATTAAAAATAATAAAGACATCACTAAAATATTAAATGGCAGGAGGGAGTGGTGTTAACCAAGATAATAATGGCTCCTATAGAAAACCTCCTTGTGCAGGCACACCGGGCAGGAAGGGCATGTTCTGTGCACTGGAAAAGCCTTGATCTTGCAAAGGCTTGACTTTGAAGCATGTGACTTTGGTTCTTTGAATATGCATGAAGGACAAGTTTAGAAAAGAGCAGGATTAGTTAGGCAGAGGTTAGATTCTGCTGCATTGCAGGCTGCTACTACTGTGCCCAATTCTTCGCATTTCCACTCTGAAGAAAGAACTTTTAAAAATATTTCTGTCCAGATGCAAGGGTACTGTCATAACTAAGTGTAACTGAACTTTTAGAGGAGTACTGTAGACAAATGCTGCAGAACTTAATTCCCTCCTTCTGTGAGCTGTCATCAAGCCTGAGAGATGACAGCTGTCATCAAGCCTGAGAGAGTTCAGAAAGCATTTAGATAATACTCTAAGGCACATGGTGTGCCTCTTGGGGATGGTCCTGGGCAGGGCCAGGAGTTGGACTTGATGATCCTGGTGGGTCCCTTCCAACTCAGCAGATTCTATGATCTCTACAGGGCCCCATAGTACACTTAAAGTTGTAGGGGGCAATTGGATCACATTCATACCATCAAAAAACTTCTCCCAGTCTATCTAGATTTATGATTTCCTAAGATTTCAGCTGTTGCCAAATACTTCAGAAAACACACAGGTATTTTTTAATGTATCCTAGAGAGCAAACACCCTTCAGGTGTGGCCTAATTCAACAGTTCAACATGACAAACGGATATATTATGTTTTGAATTCTTGGATACACCTACAGATATCTAAGTTTCTGGAATTCTTGCCTTACTAATATTTATGTTAAGGGTATGTGATTAAAAGTGAGTTAAAATTACTCAGATTGTTAGTATTTCCCATCTTTTGGGTTACTAGTATAGATCTTAAACCTTTGAGGTGTATGCACTGAAGAGCTATTTGCCCACATGGTCCTTCAAGAGAAGAATAAATTTAAAAGATTTTTTTAAAAGTGTCACTGCTTCTGATCTTTTCATATTTAGATTCACAGTGTCCTTCCTATGAGGGTTGTCTTGCTTTTGAGAAAGAAGGCTCTTTAAATTGTGCTGTGGACCTATGAGTATGTGGCTTTGTCCGTGCAGCAGTATTCCTGTTCATTGTACATAATAAATTTTTATTTAATTTACTTTATGAAAAAGGCCCCCAAAACTAGATATTTAAGTTTGAGTAGTCAAAACCACAGTTCTGTACAATTTAATACTAGTGTAACATATTGATATTAGAGATTTTGCTACTTTCACCTAAGCAGTCAAATATCAGGATCCTCTAATATTTTTCTAGTGTAATAATAATGGAACAGCTAGCTATCCCTTCAACAAAATCCTCTTCCTAATAAGATGATGGTTCCCATGATTTCCCACTGCATTTGCAGAACTCTGTATCTCACAGATAAAATCTGGAATTTATGTACTTCTGTGTTTAAGGGAAGGAACTTTTCAGAGTTTATACTCTGCTTTTATGTCGTTAGCAGTGTATCAGCATTAATACCTCTGTGTTATACAAAGACAGAACACTGCAGTCTTTCCAAGCACTGAAGATCACAAGTTTGAATAAATTTTTCCAAGAACTACAGAACTCATGAAGCCAGATTTCCTCCAAATTTGTATTCTAGCCACTGAAAGCCATGACTTACCTCCCTTCACAACCATAACCCTTTCTTTGTTTAGTCCTCCCCTACCTGTTCAGGATGAGCAAGAGGCTGGACTTCAGTTAAGTCTTAAACTATATGTGTAGTTTATCCCATCCTCAGTCCAGGGAGAGACCTTCTGTCAAAGGGCCATTGAGTCTCAGGCATGACTGATGAAATTACATCATCCCATTGTGAGAAGCTCTGCCCAGGGGGAGAAGCCAAACATTCCTACCTAGATAAAAATCTGAGATTTGGAACACCAGGAGGACTTTTTTCCATCAGATTCCCAGAGGAAGACCAGGCCCATCTACACCAGCACTGGACCTTCAGAGGTAAACTATGCCTTCTACAGGACCACTGCTTCAACAGAACCATGTCTGTCACTCCAGGAGGACTGCAGCCACCATTTAATGAGACTGCTGCCAGCACCCTGATCAATAGGGTGTCAGGTTGTATTCTGACTCTGTCAGTGGTGTGGTTTTTTTTTGGTTTTTTTTTGTATTACTGCATTATTATTTTAATTTTCCTAGTAAAGAACTGTTATTCCTATTCCTGTATCTTTGCCTGAGAGTCCCTTAACTTCACAATTCTAATTTGGAGGGAGGGGGTTTACATTTTCCATTCCAAGAGAGGCTCCTGCCTTCCTTAGCAGACACCTGTCTTTGCAAAACAAGACACTGTCCCTTGGACAAAAGCTAAGTGAACACATATCCCTCTCTGGGACATTACTAGGTTTTGTTCCAAATGCTGTTTCGCAGGACATGAAGAAACTTGGTATCTTTAATACTCATGCTCTCATGTAATATAAGATCAAAATCAGACAATGGCTTCAAAAGTAGCAGGGAGAGTGCAATTGAAAAAAAAAAAAAATCAACAAACCTCATACCAACCAAATAAACCACCAAAACCAACAGACAACCATTACCTAAGTTTTGTTTCCTTAGCATGCTAGGATTGTGTCAGCCATGTTCAAAGAACAGAAAGTGTAAAGGGCCTGTCACAACCAGAAACTTTCATACACGTGGAAGTTATTTAAAAGTCACCTCCAAATCACAATGTTTGAGTTCTAATGTAAGCACTAGCACCCATATCTGATAGGAAAGAGCTTTTGAAATGTGAATACTCTGATACAGTGGAAGTTGCAACAACTTTTCTTTTAACCAAAAGTAACACGCAACCACCAAGATGTTTTATTTTTCTTTCCCAACTTCTGAAATAGCTTTGCAATATTGACAAATGCACAAAAGAAAACCTGTGCATGTCTGCCAGCCCCTAGGGGAGAGAGAATTTTGTACAGAATTCTGTTCTTTCTATCAAAGGAAACATTTTGCCCCAATCTCTCCTGTTATGTCACCCACAGGAGGAAAATGGATATTTTGGAAATAGGTCATATCTCTTTGCATTTATTTTGATTGGTAAAACTTTACACCTTTTGCAGCATGTATCAAAGTATTTTGCTTAAAAAACCCCCATGATCAGAGGAATGAACTTCATCCAATAGCCTTCAAACACAGCTCATAACTGGTACTCCATGACTGCTGCTTTAAATTGCTGCTGATCTTGACTTGCATGCAAATAGTCTTTTCAGAGCTCTTGTGACCTACCTCCTAATATTGCACTTTCAAATTGAGGGTGAAGAATTAGATTTAATAAAGTATCCAGAGCATATTTTTTTAGTGATAGAAAGTGAAATAATTTTGTTTGCTAGAGTCTAGAGACCCCAGGGCAACCACTTCTTTTTGG